ACTAGGGTGGAGGCCATCGCTATTAGGTTCCTTTTGCTACAAGGTTGGAGGCCACAGCTATTAGGTTCCTTTTGCTACAAGGTTGGAGGCCATCGCTACTAGGGTGGAGGCGGTCGCTAGTAGGTTCCTTTTGCTATTAGGTTGGAGGCCATCACTGCTAGGGTGGAGGCCATCGCTATTAGGTTCCTTTTGTTATTAGGTTGGAGGCCAGGGTGGAGGCCATCGCTTCTGACTTTGTTGGCGGCCATCGCATCTAAACACCGATGACTCGGAGGTCATGCTTTGCTTCGGAGTCGTGTTCATCACAATCCTCACCTTTGCTTTTGCCATTGGCGCTATGCCCCACGAGGTTCCAGTGATCAATATTGGACACTGCAAGTGCCATTAGGTGTTGATTGCGTGCACATGGTGCAGTTTGACCTTTGTTTTGAACTCTAGTTGCACAAAGACATCGTGTGAAACACTCTGTGAATCACTTCGTGACCTGCTTTTTCCTGGCTCCAGGTTGCCAACCTATCGACTCACGATCCTTGACCAATGTTTAATGCAGTGTGCCAGCAGTGCTCAAAGCGATCCTTTTTAGTACGCCGCTTCTCACCGCTCACCTGGACTTTCCTTTGTGACTGCTTCAAGTCACCACAAACAGATGTATTTGTGGGAGGCCATCGCTTTCAGGTCGGCCATCGCTAGTAGGTTGGAGGCTTCGTGACGAGTCCGATGAATCACTCTTTTCAGACTGACGTTGTGATACTGATGAACATGTTACATGGTGAAGCCCATTCTGACACATTGAGGACACCCTCCCACCCCCCACAAAAACATAAATGTGTTGTAAAACCGACGAAGACGGGCCATGCAAAAAAGAATCAAAACTTGGTTTGGTGCTCAGTCCACAAGGACAAGCATGACCCATCCAGCTATCAATGCCTGTGTTTTTGATTGTTTTTGGTTGGTTTACTTGCAAGAGTTTCTATGAGTCCTTAAAGTTTGAAGACATAGTTGTGGATGCACTTAGAATCTTAGAATCTGTCCAAAACATGCTTCAAAGGAGGTGGTGCTGACAATATCAAGACGCAAGGATGTTGGAAGCGTTTTACTCATGTGATGCTAGTTGTATTCACAAGGTCACAGATTATGTCCTGTGATGCAGACCTTGTTGCTGCCTTGCATTCGTCCTGCAGAAATTGGTCTCAAGCCTGTGCTGTGTTGCATTTTTTTTTTTGGCCGAGGGATGCAAGGTGCGTTTAGGGTTGATGAAATGGTTCCGGACATGGTTTTGTTATGCCTTAGACCTTTTTGAATTGGGTGAAGCATGGTGTGTCGCTCATTGCGAAAGGATGTTGAATATAAGCTGATTTGTTTGTCGTGAAGAATGAACGCACAAAAAGAACTGGGAATGGGTTTTTGTCATGAGACGTCGGTAGGGTCATTTGGTCATTGTGTATAGAGGTTTCGGTTGTCAATATTGTGTTAGTTTCATGTTACATCGTTCTACAAAAGGTGTTGATGTTCAGTGTCACAAATGACTGAAACACAACCGCAACAGGACAACCCAAGCATAGGGTCAATGGACGAATCAGTCCGGCTGGGAAGGATGTTGCAATTGAATAGCATCTTCCAGAAGCTCTTTGGTCCGCCATGTCCGAAAACTCCGTACTTGCACCAAGCTTGGTGCACATGACTTCTTTACATCAATCGGACACCTCGAGATACCTGAAACTGAGAATTGATGACCATAACAATCAGAGAGGGAAGTAAAGATTGAATAAAACAGCTGGGATATTTGGGCCCGAGGTGGGCACCAATACGGACATTGCCACAAAAAGGATGCGGTTGCAATCTGTTGCATAAGCAGATGGAGATTATATGACATAATATGCGCTTTTGCGACCATATCAGCTATTCGAGGACGAGAAGATGAGACTTTTGTACATGCAACGGGCTTTTTGTTCAGTACCTGAGGCAACAATTTGGTCGCCCCCAGAAAAAGAATCCTGGTACTCTACTCATGTGGCATGAGAGTTGGGCTGGTACAATTTCACAGCCTTCAAAGCGAACCAAATGAACCAAAGAGAAAAATTGCTGTCGGGCGAGTTGTCAAAATGTTCTTTGTGCGCTCGTTCGGACATTTGTGATTTTCCGATGCTTCCAAGGAGTGGGAGGACCTCAAACACTCAATGACAAATTTGGTTCAACTGGCAGTTGGTCGGATGGATCTGGCTTCCTGGCGACAAGCTTTACGTTGTCTGCTGTGGCATCCACTGTCGTATCGGTTGTTGCAAGGAATGGTTGTAGTTCCAACTCCGAGGCAGAGATGCATGAGATTTGTGATGAATCCTTCTTTCTCATGACTGTCCTTCGGCATCAATGCAGAAGATGACAAGAGACAGCACAATAGTGTGGAAAAAGAAAAACATGTGTCCGAAACGCATCTCCGATTGTCAGGTCATCATTCTCTTCTTGCTCTTAGTCTACAGTTTCTTCTTCAACCTCCTGGTGTCGTGCCCCGTCACTTTTCGACCGGAACCCGAAGATGTTCAGATTTCACAGTTCTTGACCGAGTCTACATCTTACATCTTACTACTAGTAGCAAGGGGCATCGCTACTAGGAGCAAGAAGCTACTAGTAGCTCCTGGCATCGCTACTGGTTGTCCTTAGGCCGACTTAACCATCGCTGAGCTGAGGCAGTTTTGCGGCGTTTATTCGTCACTGGCCGCCGACATCAAAGGCTACGCTCGGCTTGCTCGAGGAGAGGTCATTGTGGACACACTCAAGGCGCACAATTGACGCATTTTCGCACAATCATTTGCATAGCTCGTTCACAGACGTTTGATTCCTTGGAATTCTGCAAATGTCCGAAGGTACTGATTTTATATGAAAGAAAATGAGTGCAAGGAATTTTCTGTAGGAAAAGCAACTGTGGCAACAGGGGGAGGATGGTGGATGCACTTTGTGCTCTGCCGTTTTGGCTCAAGGCCATCTCCCCCGAGTTGCTTGGTACGTGTCTTTGTTGCCATGGCGGCGCGTGGCGTTGGCCTGCTGTGGTTCCTCGCGGCGGGGCCATGCGGGAGGCTATGCGTGGGCGAGGAAGACGTCACCAGGTACACGATGGGGTAGTCGAGCAAAGGATGCGTGCTCCGAAGAAGGCGACACCGAGGGTATGGGAAGTGACTGGCGAAGGCCGGCACAACAATTCGGTGAGCGATGGAGAACACATTCTCGGAAGGTGGAACCTTCACACTTCAAAGAGAAGATTGACGAGGCACGGGAAGTGCTGGAGGGATACCACGAGGAGGTGGACGAGAAGACGGTGATGGAAAGAGGACAAGGACCAGCAATGATGGAGGTAGGTGTGAACATGATGATGGAGCACCTCAATAGGGATCGGACTTTCCGAAGGGGCACGGAGGTCATCTTCATGTCGAAGGACAAGGTAAGAGTGGTCGAGAGTCAAGAGATGCGGAGGGGGAAAGAATCAAGGGAGTAAGACAAAGACCGTATTCCGTAGGGAGGCAAAGGAAAATGGAGGTCAGGAAAGAGCCGGAAGTGGAAGGGTTATGGACAAAGACGGAGACGGAAGAGTACGAGGAGACCGAACGAAACTCCAGTGGCGATGGCCCAGATCAGCGGATTGGTCCTAATTCTAATTTGGACTCAAGCCGAACACGATGGGCTGGCAGCCAAGGGTGGCCTGATGGGAGCAGTGGACGATCAGATCGAAGACTGGAAATCGGGCAGACCGAGGCAGTGCGGGGGTACTGAAGAGACTCGCCAGGGAGCCCCTACCGATGAAAAGGGGTCAACGAGCTCGGGACCAAGGATTCCACGGTTGGAAAGAAGGAAGGAAATGTAAAGGGGAACCGGAAGGAAGAGGATGAGAATACAAGGGGGGATGAAGGCGGTGGAATCTCATTGAAGGAGTACCTGATGGACCGTAAGTTCACCTTCGTGCACTTCTTGGCAGAGGAGGGCGACGACAGGTTAATTGAAGAGATGAAGAGGGAAGGGGACTAAGGACAACTCACACCAAAGCTCAAAAGAGGCGCGCTCTGGTTTTGGTGGTACTTGCCACAACCTTTTCACGAAAGAAAATGAGTGCAAGGAATTTTCTGTAGGAAAAGAAACTGTGGCAACAGGGGGGGATGGTGGATGCACTTTGTGCTCTGCCATTTTGGCTCAAGGCCACCTTATCTCAGATGATGAGGTAAGAGGGTGCAGGGTGTACTGATTGGAGTTTGACTCGAAGCCACAATAGTGGATTGAGCTAACAGAGGACTAAGGACAACTCACACCAAAGCTCAAAAGAGGCGCACTCTGGTTTTGGTGGTACTTGCCACAACCTTTTCATATCTTAAAATACACGCATTATCATTTGTTCTTTGAGGAGCCTTTAAAAGAGTTAGCCTCTTATCGGAAAGACCAGTCAGAGTCGAAGATGGTCGAAGTCCTGAAGTGTGATCTTCTCAGTCTGCAACAGATGCGCCATAGTCAGCTCATGAGGACATGCTGTTTTCCATGACTTCGGCCCACGTAAGGGGCCCCTTCGTTGAGCCACTTGTACTGGCCATGACGGCTTGGCAGGATCACTGAGGTCCTGAGAAAAGAGCGCGCTGAGCACTTTGCCTTGGTTGTTGGGCCTCCCTTTTTCCTCGAGCCCTTGAACTCCGTGGCTTTCTCCTTTTGGCTTTGCTCTTTGGCCGCTTGGACGCGCTTGCACTACGCGAGAACACCTTCTTCGCCTTTGGCCTTGAGAACGGTAGCCTCGCATAGCGCCTTGCTTGCTGGCCTTTTTGCACTGAGTCGTCGACGACTACTTTGACCTCATTCCTGCCTCCTTTGACCTTTTGGCCTTTGGCTCCAAAGATGTCCGCCGAGAAGGAAATCCTACCTTCTTGGGATGGATCTGCAAGATCATGGAGAAGATACACGCGTGAAGTGTGTTGGTTCGTTCGTGGCACCGCTGTGGAGAAACGGCGCTACTGCGCGACCAAGCTGGTCTTCAAACTTCGAGGACCTGCTCGTCTATTGGCTATGTCATGGACGACCGCTGGCTTTGACCACACCAACAGAACTCACGATTTCCTGCAACGATTAGGCTGCATCGCCCCTTGTGAGGCAGACCTTGCCCAACGCGGCAGATATCTGCCAGCAATATTTCGCTTTTAAGATCTTTTAAACGAGATTCTCGTGAAGCCATGAACAGCTTCCTCGTTCGCGAGGTGCTCCTGCTTTTGTTTGAGGCCAAGAAAGGCATTCGCCAGCGTGAGAAGACCTTCGATCTTCCAGACGAAGAACCCAAACAAGACCAAGATGATTAGTGGAACTATGATGGCTATGATTAGCGAGCTGAGCCTGGCACTTCTGGCCATGCTACAACTGCTCAAAGCTGATGCTGCCAGTCCTTCTCACTCAGGAACACCTGCTCCTGATGGTGGCGATGGCTCTGTCGGTGCAACCTCACCCGCGAAAAGACTTCAACGAGGAATGAACATGCCTTGGAGGCCGGATATCGTCTTGTACCAGAACATCTATGCCAGCTTCTCTGGCGAACTACTTCCAGGACACCTTCCACGTTCAGGAGGACTCCGACTACCAGAACTGGCACCATTAAATGCTACGCAGAGTTCGTCTCACGCGGATGACTCCTGGCATGAAGCTTGGTGGCATGACGCTTGGCCTGACTGGCATGAAGCGCAACATGGTCAAACTGAGACCGCGCCGCCTCCTGAAGATGACCCCAACGACAAAGATCTTCAGGATTCATTGCAAGCAGAGAAAGAAGCAGAGGCTCTCGCCCTTCAAGCTCAGAGGGCGCAGTCTGAAGCTCAAAGTGCCACTGCAATGCTAAAGAAGGACCGACGCTTTGGACAACATCGACCTGGTCACTCTGGCGGCGTCCACTGCATCAAGCGCGGTGGAAACCACATGGCGCGCGATTGCACTGGTCGCGGCTTTCCTTCGAAAGGGAAACACTTCGGCAAAGGAAAAACCTATGTACTGGTCTGAAAGGGATACACCCGAGCTCTACTACATGAAGGGAAAAGAAAAAGGAAAACACAACGGCAAGAATGCTCATGCCCTCACTGAGGATGGCCTCGACAAAGGGCAAGAACAAGTCCTTTGCAGCTGGCCGACCACCGGTCAACGCCTGATCTTCTACAGCCTGGAGATGAAGGAACCGATATGAACCTCCATGCCACTTGAACCTCCAGCCTGAAGCTGGGCTGCAGCTTGTTGGATCAATCTGAAGGCTGGCTATGACCTCTACGAGGATGACACCTGGGGCCGGCTTCGTGCTCTTCGTCAACGACACCGTCCTCGGCGTCTACGGTTCTCCCTGCCTTCCATATGGACTTCTGTCTCCGGATAAGAACGAGATCCTCGAGGCATACCGCAGGCGTGAGACAAGGATGCTATGGAAGGTCGACCACTTCATCAAGGAGACCATCGATAGAGAGCTCTACTAGCAGTGGCCTCATCTAACCTATGTTTGGATGGACTCAACCTCCATTGGCTCGCCTGATCTTGACTGGGACTTTTGCCGCATCGATGGCTGCCGTTTTCATCTTCGAGATTATCACGGCGATCGATTCGAAAGAATAGGAATGGGCGATCAAGACTAATGACAACTCCTTTCATGCCCAGTTCTGGGCAAAAGCGTGCTGCGGTGGACACTACCATGGTCGCATTGAGGGGGATGAGACGGCGAAGACCGCCTACTACCCATGGCGTAAGATTTTGGGCATCACAGTCGGCCTCCAACCAGCTCATCAGGTGCATGAACCTCAGCTGAAGCTGATGAAGGATCACCTGAACGAGTTGCTTCTGGCCATAAACCTTTGTCTGAACAAGAAAGAGATCGCTGGCATGTGAAGCTGACCCACTTCCACAAGGCTGCTGGCCACTGCTCCGGACGGAACCTGGCCCGCATTGTTCGCGATGTTCCGGCGCCCTACGTGTGATGGTCTGCGACCTGGTGGCGTCTCCAGTGGAAATGTCCCTCCCGCTGCGACTCACGCGCAGCTTGGCCCTTGGGAAGCTCTCGGCTTAGACGTGGCCGGGTGGACGATCCCTGGGAAAACCACAGAGCATAAATTTCTCCTGACGATAGACATGGCCACTCGACTTCGAGCCGTCTATCCTTTGCTGCCTGGGCATTACATCGCCGCCATACCATGAAGATCGAGAAATCCGAGCTGGTCATCAAGGGCATCTCCATGCATGTTGCATCATTGCGGACAGTGCCATGTCCTTCACCTCCATCAAGCTGGGTGCCTTCTGTCGAGAGCAGGATCGCGCTCCTCTACCCAGCTGAAAAATGAAGGATGGCCACATGGTGCGGTGGAGCATGCAATAGCGCCATTCAGCCAGACTATATCACCCAAGATCAAGATCCACTGACCTCTGTGTCCCTCGCCACCTCAGCCCTCGACAGCACTGAGTATGTGAGCGGCTACAGCTCTCATCAAGGCACCTTCGGTGACAGAAGAAAGAATATAGCCGACATTGTTGCTACGCGGCTTTTGTGTAGTGAATGCAGGCTGGGCATGAATGAAACAAAATCGAAGGCAAACGAAACTGCAATCCGTCCAGCGGGAAGAACTTTTTCACGATCCTTCTTGCTCAAGATTGTCAGGCGATGGCACATTTGTGGTTTGATTTCGTGATGGGTGGGAATCATGACACACCCCAGAAAGCGAAGATACAGATCGGCTGCCAGCAAGAGGCAAGCGCATTCCCGTAGAGCGGGGTGGCTTGAATGGAGGTCCCAACGG